TAAGAAAATCATATACACAATAAAAACACTGACGGACCCTGAAATCGAAGACATCTTTCAATAGAAGCAAAATGACCCCTAGAATCCAGTACACTAAGCTAACTTACTTACAATTTGCAAAATGGGCTGAAAATAACTCATGACCGGTATTTTAAAAGACCATAAACGAGAATATAGGTCAGAGACCGAAAACTTATCGATCGAAACTTAGGGGATCTCCCAAAACAGAAACTGCGGCTTCGATTCATCCGCTATGACTCCGTAGTGACACCGTTTGTCCCATCATTTTTTAATTAATAACCCGTTAATTATACCACCTAATTTATCCAAAATCGATAGGCTTCTGGTCCGAGATATGATGAATGCACATGCAAAATTTGGAGCAGATTCAACCTCGCTTACGTGAGATATCGCGTTACATACGAAAGTGTCTAATATATTGTTTGAATGTCTTGTGCCTTTAACAGAAAACGATTTCTTCTGGGAGCAAAACTCATAAAATAACATCTTGAGACAAATTCATTTCTGTTACCAAATTTTAATTTTCAGTTATCATCGCAACTCTTTTAATTTATTGTCGACTAAAATACCGCCCGGCACTCGACCAAGCGTGTGTCGCGCTTGGCGATAGGAACGGATTCATCAGCGACTCAGATGTATGTATTTTATTGGGAGGGCAAAATAAATGTGACAAAGCGCATTGTTTTGCGTTATATCTTCGTATTTTCGGAAACCGGGTGTCGTGAAAAGTAAAATTTGATCTAAAGTAATCGCAAATAATGTTTTATCATCTAACGTCGGGTACTCATCATTTTCCGGGAGAACTCGAAAAGTCATTTGGTATAAAAAAAAGATAAAGTCGGCACCAATGATAAGAAATAAAATGGTGCAATAACGCCGCCTTTGCGTTCTGAATATTCAAGCTGGGATTACGTTTTTGATATCTGCCGCAAACGCTAAAATGGTGCAATAACGCCGTCTTCGCGTTCTGAATATTCAAGCTGGGATTACTGTGTCTGATATCTGCCGCAAACGCGTTTGTGGGCTCTTTGCGAGAAAACACAGGTATAATCACGTGAGACAGATTTCGTTGCGAGAGAATAACGCTGGCCCCTGTTTAATAAATTATCCGAAATACAGAAATTGACGCACGGCGCCGAAGAGGCGAAAACCGAGTTCTCAGGGATTCAAATCCTTCAGATTCGGTATTCTATATCGCCCATCCCTACTTGGGAGTATCTGAATTTATACTTTTGTGCTATATTTCTGGTATAAACATTTAATTAATATTATCATCCAACGATGCAATCACAGAACAGCAAAAATACTCTGCCCCTACTCCACTTTGATAACTTATGGTACCGACGCAGAGATGGTTGGCAGATGCCACGACCCCCTACTTTATCCTAATGCCTCTGTATATCTACCACGTGTTTTAACCAACAAAACCATTCCAAATACGCAAATCAATTTAACGGAAATCTTCTTTCGTAGGCTTCAAAGTATCGCAAACTGATGACGTAGAAACGCATCAGTCATGCGTGGCGAACCGGCCGTGAGCGAACTGCGAAACCACTGTGAAGTGACTCACGAACCACTGTGCACGAACTATGGACCTTTCCTCAAGCATCGACTTTCTTGTTTACTTCATGACATTGGCCAATCAGCAAGATGCAAAAAGTGACGTAACAAAGCTCCCTTTTCACACCCGCTCTGACACTTTTCTCACTCGGACAGATTTTCAAGCGTGGTCGTAAACATCACCTCGTTTTCGCGTTTTCGAACTCTATTCGTTAGTTTTCAGTTGTGTTTTGGAAACTTAAGAGTATGGATCACATAATTCAATGATCACTCCAGAGCATAATGGCTCTGATCACTCTGTCTTTCTAAGAGTTTTAATTTAATTGCAGTAATAAAAAATTAGCGTAGAAATAGCTGTGCTAGACTAGGCTAAAATTCTCCACCGGTACTTTTAAAAAACGGATTGTTGTATGCGATGAATCATATTGATGGTTTGAAACACATACCTCATTTTACAGGCGCCCACTCGCAAAAGCACTCTTAAAATAGCCCCGAAAATTTTGCAATAGTAGAGTATGGGAAGAATTTTTCGGGGGTCAAAGGTCGGGGAAAGGTCCATATTCAGTAAACTTTGATGTACGTCGACGTATAATACACGCTTAGCTATGTAGCCTAGATATGTGTTGCATATATCAGTATATATTAATCAAAATACTATTATAGCAAACGATTCGGAATGCAAATCAAAATTAATCACAATAATATGCGGAAAATCAACAATTTGGGAATATCGAAATTCAGTAAAATATGATGCAATAGGTGGAAATTATTGTTATATGAGCACATGGATGATCTTTTACATAGGTCAATCATGATGTAAGTTTATATGCAACACCATACTCTGAAAATTATTGAAAGTATGTTATGTGTACATCATTCTCAAAAGAGGATGAGGTTTCGACTTATGAAACATAGATGGCGAATGGGAAAAACCCAATATGAAAGCGTGGATTTTTCCATATCTCTGTCTAATTTTTGTATTCTTGTATTTTTCATGCTAACTAAAAAAAAAAAAAAACTGATTACCTGTAAATTAAAATTATATTCAACTAACTGCTGAGTGGATTACATGGGGATTAACTCAACTTTTTTGGACATATATTGGATTATATTAAATTAATGACATGCAGTCATGTCATGGTAATGGTATGAATTTTGTCTTTATTTTGATTTTTACTATTCATTGTATTGGGGGGAATGGGATTAAATTGAAAAACGATAAACAAAAACATGGAAACAAAAAACTATCAATTTATATATTTATAATAAAATGATTTGATACCAAAATATTAATACGAAAATTCCATTTGGCATTGGAATTTATTTGGCACAAAAAAAAAAAAAAAAGCTATGTAGCCTATACAGCAAAGTGATAGTCACTTTGGTATACAGTATACACTATACAGGTATATTCAGATATTACTTGATCTGCGCAACGCCAGATCCTTGCTGCTTAGGAGGACGAGGTAATTGCGTCTCATTATTTCCCTTTTCGTTCCTTCACTGCAAAGAGAGAGAGAGAGGGATTTTATTATCACAAACAATGTCAACACTAAAAGATATATTTGATTCAAAAACAGAAAGAAAAATATTTCAATAATAATTGGTTGATCATTATATGCGAGAAAAGAAATACCGGTACAGTGGTACCAGAACGGTACAGTATGTAGTCAACATGTGTAAGTCCTGACTCCTGAAGTCAGCAATTTAAAAGCGGTTTTACTAGTTACTGAATACAGCGCGAAACACCGCCAAGATCGCAAAACAGAGGGAAACAGCGCAAAACAGTGGGGAAACAGCGCAAAACAGCGCGAAAGAGTGCAAAACAGAGGGAAACAGTGTGAAGCAGAAAAAATTTTTGCAATGAGTTCGGGGCACCTTGTTTTGAGTTGGGCTACCACGGCAGCAAATTAAAAACACAAACCAACGTATGTAGCCAGTAATGCTGTAATGGCAGGTCTGCCCCTGCTGGTGACACATTTTGGGTACCATAATTTAGAACATTTTTCATATGGATATGGTTGGCTTTAGGGTTAGGGTTAGATAAAAAGGGATCTCCAGAAGTATGTGCACCAAGATGGCGCACAACCTGAAAATAGTATGTGTGTGTCAGTGTGTGTGTGTGTGTGTGTAGCGGATTCAGGTTGTACGACATATTGCTGCACATACTTCTAGAGCACCAGGAAGGTAGATAAAATTTCGCATGATGACCTATAATCCGGTACATAACCTTGTAAATATACCGGAAATAGCGCCATAAAACCATGGCGAGAGGCGCCGTGGTTCTTTCGTGGCAGGAGGTGGTAATGACTGCGTCTCCTGTTTTCCGCTGTTTCCCTCTGTTTTGCGCTGGTTTCCTTCTGTTTCGCGCTGTTTTCCTCTGTTTTGCACTGTTTCGCGCTATTTTGCACTGTTTCGCGCTATTTTGCACTGTTTCGCGCTGTTTTGCGGTGTTTCGCGCTGTATTCAGTAAGTAGTAAGACCCATTTAAAAGTTAATACCCGTACTGCAAGTTAAGGCTGTACAGCTGTATGGTGTTAATAGATCATATGAAGTTCCGGTTTTTGAGTGCTGGCAGGTCCAGAGAATTATGGCAATCATCATGAGCTTGCAATGCCGCTAGAGTTCAAAAAGTTGATAAACTTTATTTTTGTATTGAGACAAGTACTAAAGTAAAATCATGATGATGATATCTTAGACCAGGACCAGGAGTGTGTAACTTGCAGCCCGGGTGCCAAATGCGGCCCTCTAGGAAAAATTGTGTGGCCCGCGGAGAAGTGCCAATTTTTAATGATGTGTGGCCCGCGAAACGTTTTTTTTTTTATTCAATACCGGTATGGTATGTGCGAGTAATTCTTGAGTCTAATTTATTATCTATTCCATGACTTAACAGTTAGCTTGTGCAAACAACGTATGTCACAAGATCAATAACCAAAATTTTTGTGCCTGCAGCTGCTAGATAGCCCATGTTAAGGTGCAACCCACGGTTTCACCTAGTTCAGTAGTTATTACTATCTGGCCCTACTGTATTGAAGGTTGCACACCCCTGTCTTAGACAGTGAGTATTTATAAAATAAAATAAGTAATATTTATGTTAATTTGGATGAAAAGAAAGTCAGTCAGTCAAGAAAGTTTTTTTTTTACAGTCAATGACCTCGTTTCAGAGACAAATAAAGTGTTCGCTTCATTGAACTGAATGTCGGGGGTATCGAGGTGTCTTGGAATCGAAGAACTGTGCCCCTACTGGATTAGATTGATCCGAAATCAAATAAACAAAGTCCGAAAACCCAATGTTTTAAAATATTGAATTCCTTCTTTAATTTTTTTTTCAGGATTTAAAAAAAGCAGTGAATGTGAAGACTACAATTCCTCTAACATAATTTTTGCATCACAGTTTCCCAGCTTAACCATTTATCTCAATCTTCTTTGATTTACAGATTTATATAAAGTAGATAGGTAGAGGCATAAAGTAGTTTGCAGCAACAGCATTGTATAAACCATGTCAAACAATGACATCCAACCTCCCCCTCCACCCCCTCCAATGATGGGATCATTGCCTCATGGACCACCTATGATGGGAGGCTCATCAGGACCCCCACCCCCTCCGGGGCCCACAAATATGATGGGTCACAATGTGCCACTTCCGATGAATATGGGTCCAATGATGCAAGGTAAGATTTCTTTTTTCAAATTAAATTGGTAATTAATGTTGATTGCGATTACATAGCACAATAAAAATCAACAAAAAAACAACCCTTGTTTAGCGAATTCTATTGAATATATAATTTTAATAGCAAGTTTTCTTCCAATTACAGGTGGACCAGATAATATTGGCTTCAATGACAGAATGAACAGAAGACCCCATCCGAATGTAAGTATCAAATTGGATTTACTACAACTTGTCATATTGCTATAACTTTCATTCATTCTTTTTGACGATGTAATAATTTTAGAGTGAAACACTATCTGTTCAGAAATATATTTATTTTCAGGATGGTGAAGATATGCGAGGAGGTCCTGGAGGATTTGATAGACCTCCTTTCCCTGATCGCTTCAATAACATGCCACCTCGTGATAGGTTTGACGGGCCATCTGGACCTCCTGGTAATTTTGATGGCCCACCTGGGCCCCCGAATCGCTTTGATGGTCCCCCAGGAAGTTTTGATGGCCCGCCACCGAGACATTTTGATGGTCCACCTGGTGGTTTTGATGGCCCACCTGGTGGTTTTGATGGCCCACCTGGAGGTTTTGACGGGCCTCCTGGTAGCTTTGATGGACCCCCTGGGTCAGGTCCATCAGGCCCTGGTGGATTTGATGGGCCACCTGGCGGGTTCGAGGGACCTTCGGGACCTAGTGGATTTGACAATCATGATGAGTATAGAGGAGAACCAGAGATGTATGATGGTATGTATTTATGTCGTAATACGCTGCTGAAGTTTTTGTTAATCTGTCATTGAATAATGGAATAATAATATGGAGCTAAGCTAACTGGTGTTGTGTGCTTGATGTGTACTTATTGCGTGATTAGTGAAAATTTTATATAAGAATACAAGTTTTATTTCAAATCCTTTTATAAATATCAGAACGTGCTCCTCGACGTGGTTCTCCCCAACCTCTTATGGGACGTCGTGTGGAACCAACTAAGGATTTCGAAAGAAGGTTGAAAGAAGATGAAAAATCAGGCAAAAAAGGAAGAGATTTCAGGTTGCCAGCTGCACTGGAAAAAATGCTTGCCTACAAAGATGAAAGAGCAAAAGAGGTATTTTTATTGTGTGTTGTTTAATAGATAACATAGTGGTTAAAGTATTGAACGTGAGAATGTTGGCATTGCAGGCCAGAACTGGGTTTAAAATTCATGTCACTAATAAATTGGGTAAAGACTGCCAAACTGGAAAGATCTTATCGAAAATAGGACCTTCTTGCTTAGAAATGGCTGCTTGTTCAGAATTGAAGCCATATAAAGCATCATTTTAACTAATATGATCTTTCAGCAATTCAACTTTGAAAAATTTCGACTACTACCACTGTTGAATTTGAACCTGCTTTCAAAAAATATATTTGTGTTTACATTGTTATAACTCGAAATATCCTGTAATAGTTTCTATTTAATTTGAAATAGGTTGGAGTTTCGAATGAAGAAGTCAAAAAGGCAATGGAAGGAAAATTGGAACTCGAAAAAGCTACAGAACCAGCAAATGAAACAACAATGTCTGAACAAAAAAGGTATTTAGAAATGTTGTTGGTTTGGAAATGTCTTTATAATATATGTACAAGTCTGGGACTTTACAACCAGCGACGCCTGCAAGATTTCAAAAATTCTCCCGATTTTGACTCTAAGTTAATGAAAATTTAAGACTTGAGATAATCATATTTTGTTAAAAACTTTGGTCTTTCTTAATTAAAAGAATGTTAAGGACGTTGTTGAACATAATTTATTTGAGTTTCTTTCTAAAATTTTGTCTTTAATTATAACCATTATCAAGTCTGGAATTCCGAATTTGGACTTGACTTTTGATAAATGGTGATGCAATTATCGCAAATACACTACCTACAATTCATATTGAATTCACAATCCAGTACATTTTCAAAAACCAGAATCTCTATCACTTTTAATCAATATAATGAGAGAAAATTTTTATCAGGTGCTTAGACTTTTGAGCTCGCGAAAATTTTCCGTGACATCTGTTAAGTCGACATTGTTACGCAAGCGCACCGCTCCTCGGTTCTCACGATCAAATCCTGAATTATTATGTAACCGTGTCGCTTTTTTGATCCTAAGTATTCTCTCGAAATCATGAAATTTAAGTTTTGCACCAGTTTTTAATAATTGTGTTTCAAATCAAAATTCTAAAAAAGTACAATAGATATGGTAGCCTACTTTGTGTGTAATTGGTGAAATAGGTTTGAACCCTTAAATTCAATGCGCACCACCATGCGGGGTGGCGACCCCCAGTTTGTGAAGCCCTGGCCGAGGTTACTCCATGCAAGGGGACAGAAAATGTTAATCTTTCTGCATGCCTCTGTGTGACTAATAATGCTACTTCCAAGACTTGCTATTTCATATTTTAATATTTTTTCAGGCGACTCGAGGAAATTAAAGCAGAAATTACGAAGCAGTATGTTGAAGATACCAAACCCGGTGATCTTCCACTTACTAAATCAGAAGTTGCTGAACAAGCTCGTAAAGCTCTAAAAAACAGAAAGAAAAAAGAAAAGAAGAAGAGAAGAAATGTACAAAAGAAGAAAGAAAAAGAAGAGAAGGAGATAACAAAAGATGCTCAACCTCCCGCAGAGAAAGGAGAGATTGATGCAGTGAAACAAGAAAAAGATGTTGAAATTGAGTAGGTTATTGAATGGTTTTACATATTTGTTGGAATTAATGTTGGATAATATACACCAGGGGGGGGGCCAACCTTTTTTCGGCCATGGTCGACTAAAATATTCAAAATAGCTTGCGATTGACTTATCGTTACTGAGGTCATACACAAAAACGTATGAGTACTGAATGCAGGTAACTACACACACGCATATAAAAATTCCACCGCTGCCGATAAGCTCGGCTCCGTGGGTGCATTCTCAATGAAATCGCCAAAAAACTTGTATTTTTTTTGTTTCATTTAATTTGATTATGTGATGTGTTTCATCCCTTTTTTAGATTTATTCAAATAATATATATACAAATAATATCAAAGTGATCCAAGGGCACTTTTCATCAATACTTTACTTGAATCCATTTTATTATGAGCAATTATTCTCCTGTCCCTTTTTGCTTGACTTGTTAATCAGATTCACGAAACTTGACAAATACCGTACTCGTCCCATTTCTAACATTTAAATCTCTTATTAAACTTTTAATTCAAGTTTTTACTGAAACTTCATGTCTTTATTATCCGGTTTATTTCTATATTATTTTTATAAACGTTTTTCATTTTTGCCCAGATATGTTGCTGATACTCCAAGTTTTAATGATCCGTATTTGTACGAGTTCAAGAAAGTGTTTGAAGCATTTAAAATAGCTGAAGAGGTAATTGCTGTTATTAATAGTTTTCATTCTAGTTACATAGTACTGAACGGTTTCTGTGGTCCAGGGGTCAGCATAAGCACAAAGGCTATTAGTGTAGCATTTTGTCTATACTTGAGGTTCAAATCATCTCTTAGTTAAAATTGCTTTTCTCATTCTTTAATATTTATCAAAACTTGCTTTGCTATAATGTGATGTGCGGAACATATGGATATGGGTATTTTTGTGTTTAATGACCAAAATAACTGTGAGGACTTATAAAAATTAAACAGACATTCAAATACTCATTGACATTTGATAGTATAATATATTAAGCAGTGTCATTATTTGATTTACTAGCATTAAATTTGTTAGACAACTGCCAGCTAATAAATATTGATCACCATCTTAACAAGTTTTTATCTATATTCAGAGTTATATGGCTACTGTTATTGCTTTCCCTACTCTTTGTAATTCATTTTAGATTGAAAAGGTGACTGCAGATTCCACTACAGATGGTAAAGATGCAAAAAGCAAGTTAAAACAACCTAAACCTATAAAAGAAGAAAGTAGTGATGTGAGATAATTGTTATATTTGTATTAGTTCGAATTATTTAATGAAATTGAAATTCAGAATCAATGGTGTCTTTTTAGAGTGCTCTTCATTGGTAAGGACGAATCTTAAAAACGGAACAGTAAATTTCTTAATTTTACAAAAATGTAAAAATATTATTTACTATTTGAACTCCTGCTTGAATATGATTTGTATCCTAAACTTTCAGTTATGTTTCTCTAGAATATGATCCAAATGACCCTTGGTTCTATGTCATGAAAACAGAGGTCTTAACCTTCCTTCTCAAATTTACTCCTTTTATAATACTCAACTGCCACATTTGATCATGAAATGGAAGTAATAGCATATTTGTGTCGTCTGGAAAAATGTAAATTTCTTTTCATCGAAATCCACCTTCAATGCATGTTAAATTTACTCCCAAGGGTTCAGTTTACCCCTGATTGATAACCTTTGTGTTGAAAGATTGATTATTCGAAAAATTAATTCATTGATAAATTCGGTTTTGGGACATTGAACATTTTCTCATAATACCATTTTATATTGCTTTTACTATAGGATGAAGCTGAAGATGATAAACCCAAAGTGTCAAAAAGACAACTTCGTAGAATGAACAGATTATCAGTTGCCGAATTAAAACAACTTGTATCAAGGCCTGATGTGGTGGAAATGCATGATGTAACTGGTAAATTAAAATTTCAGAACATTTGAATGATTTGAGTATGGTGACTGCGACTTTGAGTTGATAAAAATGTTGGCTTGGACTCCAGGCTTGAAAAACAAAATTTTGGATTTTTACTCCAGGCTAAAAATTAAATTTTGGCTTTGACTCCAGGCTAAAAATTAAATTTTGACTTTGACTCCCGGCTAAAAATTAAATTTTGGCTTTGACTCCAGGCTAAAAATTTAATTTTGATTTTGACTCCAGGCTAAAAATTAAATTTTGGCTTTGACTCCAGGCTAAAAATTAAATTTTGGCTTTGACTCCAGGCTAAAAATTAAATTTTGACTTCGTCTCCGGGCTAAAAATAAAAATTTGACTTTGTCTCCTGATTCTAGTTTATAAAAAATATAGTTTGTGGCTCCGGCGCCAGACTCTTAAAAAAATCAAGTTTTCATAACAATTCTTTTACATATGCAAATAGAATGCCTATACCCAAGCTTTGCCCGAGTTTTTGTAGAAGACTAGAGACTTCTTTTCTCATCATTAAAAGTCTGCAATTCTGGCTGGGAGAATTCAAAATTTTAACTCCGACTTAAGGGGATTTGAGATTATGGCTCCAATTCCAGTGAAAACAAGACAACCTCTGACTTACGACACAGTGCCTCCATAGCGCTAAATCTTATATAGTGTTTCCCATATGGATATGGTATAATGTGATTTCCAACCTGGCCGCAAAACAAGGTGAAAAAGTGTTTACAATAATCATTGTGTTTTGAAAAGGCAAATTGTGAGTCACAAAGCCAACTACTAAATGTGAAATCCCCTTTTTCACATACAAACAACATGCCATTATTATTTTATATTAAAAATTATAGGTATCGCACTCATAAATAGACACAGTGGAAAATTTTTTATCGAATTTGTAAATTTTTTCTCAGCTCAAGATCCAAGGTTACTAGTTCACTTGAAAGCAACAAGAAATTCTGTCCCCGTGCCTCGGCATTGGTGCTTTAAACGGAAATATTTGCAAGGAAAACGTGGTATTGAAAAACCACCTTTTGATCTGCCAGACTTTATCAAAAGCACAGGAATCATGGAAATGAGACAAGCTCTACAGGAAAAGGTTTGTAGACAAAATTATTGGTTGAAACACAAGTATTTCTCTTTACTATCAACTCACTAATTTAGTAAATAATTGTATATGGCTAATTAATGGATGTCAATGATAGTTTGCTGCTGCATATAATATATTTATTACCGACTTTGTCAGTTTCTTTTTCTCAAACGTCTCCCAATTCACTGAAATTTGATTGCAGTTATGTTTTAGGTGACACTGGATTGCACTATAGATTTTTGTTTGTTTCAAATAGTTTTTTGATTAGAACATTTGGCATTCAATAAAATACCATTGATAAGCAAAAACAGTGGTTTCCAATTTTTTTTTCGTTAAATTCTTTCCTTCGCCTATGTTGGAACTTTTTATTCGTCCCTCACTATGCGTAAAAATTACTTTATTATTCAATCTTTAACGGATCCCTGACTAGTATTAAGTCGCACTCCTGCTTTTTACTTTTGTAGAGTTTTAGTAGGATATAATGTGTGTATAAATTAGTATCATAAGTAATATTGAAGACTAAGAATGTTAGTAACACCACAGCAAATACAAAGCAAAATTCCTCTATTAGAGAGGCCAAATTTCCCATTGGGGTAGGATTCGTCTATAGTTGCGAAATGTGGAGCTAAAACACATTTACCAGAATCAGTGTTTTGACAATCTGGGACTAAGTTTTAAATGTTTGTGTGTGCTGATCACAATATTTCATTTCATGACTAATTTTACTTTGCAGGAAGATCAACGAACGATGAAATCAAAAATGAGGGAAAAAGTTCGACCTAAGATGGGAAAAATAGACATTGATTATCAGAAACTTCACGATGCTTTTTTCAGATATCAAACGAAACCTAGAATGACAATACACGGTGATCTTTATTATGAAAATAAAGAGTTTGAAACAAGGTTAAAAGAAAAGAAACCTGGTATATTATCAGATGAACTCAGAACAGCACTGGGAATGCCAATAGGACATGTGAGTGAAGTTACATCTTAAATTTTTTTATGGAAGTCGTATAGCGTTATTATCTCAAACACTGCTTAAATCGATTTTCAAACTTAATTTCACTTGAATCCGATCAGAAAAAGATTCGATTGGGTAAAGGGTTAGATGTAACTATAATCGCATTGTAGCTTAAATCTGGGGATCAAATCCCATGCCCACCACCTTGGGTAGACGATGCCAGACCTAAAATTTTTCTAATTTTTCCAAAATAAAGCGGCTGCTTGTGCCAGGAGCCTTTTTCGGAGTGATATGCATATGAAAAAAAATCCATCTGGGGCATAACTTGGAAGCTGCTTCTCAGATTAAAATTGCTTCCCTCATAATGTTTACTTTGGAATAATCTTTTCCGTATGTCTATTGGTCCCATTATATAACAAATTGTATAAATGATGGCATCAGAAGTTTTGACACCAGGCACACAAACAAGTTCATGTTGGCCTAAAAACTACTGTTTGTCATATACCCTAGACAAAATATGGAACCAGATTGCGAAAATCTGCACTCAAACTTGGACTCGAAACTGTAGTGAAAGATTTACCTGAAGGGATGGATTGTTATTGAACTTAGATGGGATTTCATTTCACCGAAGCAAATTGCAAGACTCTGGAACTGATGAATTTACCAACCTCTTTGTATTTACAATCTTATTTTCGAGTTATCCTTTCTATTCACTAGAATAAAGAAAAGATTCCTCCACCTTGGTTGATTGCAATGCAACGTTATGGTCCACCTCCTTCATATCCTAACCTCAAGGTTGCAGGTTTAAATGCACCAATTCCAGAAAGTTGCTCTTTTGGTTATCATGTCGGAGGATGGGGTAAACCGCCTGTAGATGAAATGGGAAAACCGTTGTATGGAGATGTATTTGGTGTACAAGTTGGCGAATATGATGACCTTGGTGATAGTAAGTGAACTTATTTTTGTAGAAAATTATTTTGGTGGTACATTCAAGGGATGTGCAACCTGTGGCACGAGGGCCAAATTTTGGCCCACAAAGGAAAATTTTGCAGCCCACTGAGAAGTGCCAATTTTGAATGCTGTGTGGCCCGAGAAACGAGTTTTTAATTTAGTTTAATCTAGTATGTGCTTGTAATTCCAATCCCTTTGCGTTGCAAAGCCTATACGTGAGTCCAACTTATTATCCATGTCTATGATGTTACAATGCCCAAACTGCTAGCTTATGCAATGCGAACAACGCATGTCATAAGATTATTAACCAATATTTTTGTGCCTACAACTACCGGAAAGCCTATGTTAAATAACGGTGCGGCCCACGCTTTCATCCAGTTATTTGTATCTGGCTCTCCTGTATTGAAGGCTGCAAACCCTTGGTCTATTCCATATTCGAATATATCACTCTTTTGTAATTCAATGATCTATCTGCATTCATCTTAAACTCATAACAGCCTGAAATAAACAAATACGCCCTTGGGTTGTCTTAACTGTACAACCCATCTTAAAATTGAATCTCCTTCTCATTGATATTTTCAATGTTATTTGAGACTCCAAGGAATTACTGGTGATGGATTGATAGTCTATTTTGTTTGTCCATTGTATACCTAAAACGAAGTAATTGATGGAAAAGTTGTCATAAAATTTTGTTATTTGGTGAATTCATCATTTTGTGTAGAAACACACCTACTTCCAAGTCATAGCTTGATTTCTATCTATGATAGTTTCAGTTGCCTATGGAGTAGTATTTTATGATTAGCTGAAAAGTTGGAACTTTGTTCTAACTAAGTATTAGGAATTCGCTTGTCATCATATCCATTATTACACGGTATATGTTCATAGGTAGGATTCTCATGAGGGATAATTATGTATGAAAAGGATTTCTTCCTTGTATCGTGGTTTCACGTAACCACCAGTCTGTTACGACTTCTCCACCATCAAGTCCCATGCATACAAACAAAAATCTATATTGACTTTCACCTTTCTCTGGATAAATATGAGAATTCTATTTTATATTAAGATGATGAAGTTGATAAAACGCCTTGGGGTGAATTGGAAAGTGAGAGTGAGGAGGAATCATCCTCGGAGGAAGAGGAAGAAGACCAACAACAACCTGATGCAACTGGGTTCATTACCCCGGCAGAAAGGTAAAAATAATTCAATTCAAATTATATTCACAAAGGAAAGTCTTATTGTGGATGTTAAAGTGCACCACGCATACAAGATAGCAAGACCCATAATCTGGCTACTGCTGTATTCACAGGAACTTTCTCAAACATTTGACACTATTTATATTCAAAATAGCGAATACATTTTATGACAATGATAGAATATTTTTATTTTAAATATTTTCACTTTATACAAGTGATCATGTTTCCATTCATCTTTATAACTTTTAAAAAATACTATTCAAATTTGTTTTTGTCAACTTTTTGTATTAACATGTGAATCCATCTGAAAGTACATATTCCATTTAGAAAAGTATGTTTTATAGTGTAGTTATCATAGTAATTGGATGGTGTTGACAATAACACTTTTTGACTTCTGACTAAATGTTGTAACAGTAATTTCTATGTATTATTTTAGTGGTATGGTTACACCAAGCGGTATATCATCTGTGCCAACGGGAATGGAAACACCAGATATGATTGAATTGAGAAAGAAAAAGATTGAAGATGCAATGGAAGGGTAAGCCACCATATGTCACTTCTGTCTTTTTTCAAGATTACCGTGTAATGATCATAAAAGTATTGAGTTGGTGTCAACGATTTAAAAACAAAATGTACTGTTGTGCTTCTATAGTTGATAATGACATAAAAAACTGATCAAGCATCTCAGTGTTCATGCAGATTAGAACAGTGCTGCTACCAGATTAGAATAGCAGTCCTGAGACCCAATTCGCAGAGAATATAATGACTGAGAGCAAAAATTTCTTATAAATATAGAATAATTAATGAATATATATACCAGTATATGATAATCTTTCCTGTCAGCCTGAAATTGGACATTTCACAAATCTGAGTTCAGTTCATATAAGCTGTTGTTTCCTTATTTCTGTCAACAAATCACACTGTGTATAATTATTTGCTATTTGTATTCCTATTGTACATCTAAACCAGGGGTCGGCAAACTACGTCCGCGACGCTTCACTGAACTATATTAACGAAACAGCTGCATTGACGATTATATTCTTTACGTGACAGAATTGTTTTGAGACACTAAATTATATTATAACCTAACAAGTATATAATTCACAATCACTCGTTTTATGAGGTTATAATTGATTATGATTAGACAAATGGCAAAAAAGTTGATGCTGCGTGCAAATGGTTTAATGATCCCAAAAATATTCAAATGACCAGTCTTCGCGCACTGCTTGAAATTTAACTGAGATTTGTGTGAAAAAATGTGATTCATTGGCCATTAGTTCGGTTTTTAACTTTCTAAAAATATGTGCGGCCTGCTAATGACTTGGAACCTTAATTTTGGCCCTCGAACGACAAAAGTTTGCCGACATCTGATCTGATTGAATACAATAATGTCTGTTTTGTTTTTGTAGTGGTGAAACGCCAGAACTTTATACTGTATTACCTGAAAAATCAGCTGGAATGGTTGGAAGATCAATGATGGCTTCCAGTCATGTTTATGATATTGCTGGTGTAAGTGAAATTTTTTGTTAATTTACTTGTATTAAACTGCATGCTTGCTATAAGTGATTATTTTATTTACTTATTTGGATATTGAGGGGGTCCCATTTAAAAGGTATTTGAAAATTTGTGAATGTTTCATCAGCAATCTGGTTCTTAGTGGGTACAGTTTTTACCAAAATGTTCTCAATATGAATAATTGAAGTAATATTTAACATTAAATATGCTGACTTCTTCTTGTATTTTTCAGGCGTGTTTAATGTTCATTCAGCTATCGTTTTCCTTTTTTTCAAATCATGGTCTCTCATCGTTCAATGCGGCCATTGTAGAATATTTTGATATAAACATTATAGTATAGTGTTTGCTGTACTGAATACCATTGGTTCACTAATTCTTCATCTGACATGTTTTACACCAGGGGTCGGCAACCTACGGCCCGGCCCGCAACTCTTCACTAAATTATAGTAACAAAACATCCGTTTTGTCGAATATATTCTTTAGACTAAATTATATTATAATCTAAGAATTATATATTTCACAATTACTCGTTTAATGAGCATGTAATTTGATTATAATTAGGCAAATGGCAACAAAACACAGAAAAGTTGATTCTAAGTGAAGAGGGTTCAATAACGCTGGAAGTATTCGAATGGAATTTTATGAGATGCAATGAGGAAATGAATCTATATTCTATTTGAGAAATGTATCACTGCTTGCTTTTTATTATAGAAAGTATCATCCGTTCGGTTTTTCAACTTTCTAAAAATATGTGCGGCCCGCCAATGACTTGCAACCTTAATTTTGGCCCGTGAGCGACAAAAGGTTGCCGACCCCTGCTGTACACATTGTGACACCAGTCATTTTCTTAAATATATATGTAAATGTATCATATTCAACAGGCAAAACGTGCGCAAGGTACAGGTGCTTCTGATCAAGCTGGTGTTGAAGTTGCATTGAATCCTGAGGAACTTGAGTTGGATACTGCTGCTATGGCTGCAAAATATGAGGAAAGGGTTCGTGAACAACAAGCTCAAGTTGAAAAAGAAGATTTTAGTGACATGGTAGCGGAACATGCAGCTAAACAAAAGGTATAAAATACGATTGATTAAAGTGAAACATTAAACAAAATATAGAGTTGTTGATGTATCTTCTTGGCCAAAATAACTCATTGTTCCAAAGAGAATTTTAATACTCTGATACCACAATATTATTTATCAGAAAATTTAAATTGATGGTTCTATGATTCTTGGTTTGTATTGGCCACACAGTTAACTTTTTTTCAGAAGTCAATCTTTTATACTGGCGAGTATGTGCGCATGACCATTCTTTGAGCAAATTCGGTTTACATTTTTTTTTTAATCCTTTTTGATAAGAAACAGTCTTAGATTTTTTAAACTAGTTGCAATTAACGAAGTTTTGAACACTTAATGTGAATTAACACGTATTTGTAAATTATTTCACCCAGAAAAAGAGGAAAGCACAAACGCAAGAACCAGGAAGGGCAACAAAGAAATACAAGGAGTTCAAGTTTTAATATCACAATCATTCTTTCGACATTATGGGTATTGTCTACTTTAAAGGCACTTTCGTGAATGTTGAGTTCATCGATATAGGAGTTTAAATAGGACCAAAGCGATAAAATGCTGAAGATTAGAAACTGCCACACTGCTCGATCTGATACATTGTTGTATATATTTATGTCTATCATGCTTTTGATAAGAATAAATGTGAAAAATCAACATGGCGGCTTATGAAAGATTTAATGTTTGAGTGATATTTGCGCATCACACTTGTATCACCAAACATTTTGGTTACTGGTAAACTACAGCATACAGTGAGTCGAGTTTAAGAACTTCGTTGACGTATCGTTGAACATTCTGAGTTTGAATGCGGGTAGGGTCTTTAGCAGAAAGGTTAAATTATGAGTCATGTTAAAGACATTTCTGGTCAACTCGTAACTTGGATGAGTAAAGATACGGTAGCTTATTCAGACTTCGTATCGGTGCAAAGTCGAAACTTAAAATAGAGTAGAGTGAAAAATAATCGAGGTCATCGAAAAGGCAAACAGTTTTATAATTAGAATTGAAACGTGCATGCAGAATGCAAATACAGAATTCTTAGATGATAAATGAGCATGCACTTTATTTCAGTCGTATGTAACTAATTAAGAATGATTAAACGCCGTGTGACTACCAATTGGCAGCTGACCCTCTGTGATTATACGGTATTGATCCAAATTTGTTAAAAACAGGAAATCCATGCACCAAGCTGAATATAGCCGAATTGCCAAACCAACTGATAGCCGGTTTTTTAACGGGCTCACCAGGTATACGCGTAAATGATTGTTCTCATTAAACAGTCTAAGTTTCAATTCATTAAATTTTTAGGTATTTTTTCATATATTTGTTTTCTGATGATTTATTTCCGTCTTGTAGTTAAAAATAAATTAGAATATCTTTAGACTCCAACCACATTATATTAGCAACTATTCTCACGTGTTTGCAGTTTAGCAATTTAGTCCTCACCGTAACGTGTAATCTGTTGACCCACGTAGGCAATTGGGTAGCTTACCGTGCCCCCTTATAGCCTACCTACCGCATCAATGCAAAAGTTAAATTTTAGAAGAGGGTAATGCAGTTATTTTAAAAATGTTAATACTAGTGTTGGTTATGTTATACTGTTATAGTCTATGCCAGGGATGGCGAACCTTTTTCAATGAATGGGTCAAAAATTATAATTTTTGTTGCGGAACAGAAGAGAGTGGATCACAGATATTTAATTCACGTTTGTATCTATAAGAAACTTCTGAAACAAATCTTATAAGCTGGTGTTGGTGTAGTTTTGGGCTTTACTTATGCAGCACTTCTATCAGGGACTTTTCATGGCACTCGGTTTTATGATATTACTGTATTAGAGTACGAAAACACGCACATGAATTACCAAAAACGTTTAGGATGATGCGTAAAATATTTTACGGTTCTAGTGTTTGGAGGTAATTCCGCTTTGATAGTGTTATGATTTTCGATCAGCTTCCAACCACATTAAGCCACTTTTACACTGCCCCATTGTTATATCAGATTTCTAGATTTTTATTTCAAGTCTGAAAGTTTTTGTTTTCACAACGGCATTGTAGACGAGAAACTAATAAAATGCAAAGTAGCATCTAGTTCTCGTATAACCCCTAAAACAGTTTGCAGATGCACTTCCAAAAAAGACAGGCGTTGCAGGAAATGAACAGATCAATTGCATTGTTATGTCATAAACGATGTCAGGCCCAATAGCTGAATAACAGTACACAGCGGTGCATGCGTACAAGATTAGGGGTTCTGAAAATTACCATACCGGCCCAAAAATCAACATTTTAAACATGAGCGATCGCAGCCCTTCCTGACTGTCCAACTGACGGTACATTATAATAGTTTAGTTATTGTTAGATTAATTTAAGGCCGGTTTTATCAATTTTTATCACTGATATGTTAGCATTTTTTTTTATTTTATTCGTGCCTTCGCTTGGCGGGTCACAAATAAAACGCGGTGGGTCACTTTGTGACCCGCGGGTCAGTGGTTCGCCATCCCTGGTCTATGCCATGGCTACTAAACTGACGGTCCGAAATTTGGACGATTTATTTCACAATCGTACCAGTGATGAAATGCAATTTTCGCTAAACCATTGAGAAAAAAATACATTTCACAGATTTTTAACCCGGGTTGTGAACATCACTTTGTTTTTGTAACTTTGTATACTATTTGTCAGTTTTTATTTGCTTTTGAAATTTAAAAATAGATGAAATAACTTGATTTCACAAAATCTGAAAATACCATAGGTCTACTCCGACTTCCTAGAACTAAGATTGAAATAATTGACTGAAACGAAGAAATGTGACGAACAGCTATTGGACATGAAGTCGGCTAATGAGATCGTTTCGCTAAAATTTTTGTTGACATTGTCGTTTTTTTAATATTGTTGAAAAAAAAAATTTATTTTCTGCAACTAATATATTCCAAATTTTGTGTCCTAACAGTAATTCATGTCGCTAAAAGACTGTTAAATACATTTATTTTTACCTGTTTACGGGTGCCATGGGGGCGAATATTTCATATATTTTCAGCAAAGTAAGCGCTCATCTACACAACTGAAGCCTTGTCATACCGGCACCAGAGCGCGATATTGAGCATTGTATGTATGTATGTTTATTTGTCTCGTAATAGTGATAAATAAATTAATTGCCAATAAATATTTAAGACTGGACTAAAACACAAATGTGCGGCATGCACCCCTTTTGACAAATATAAAACAAAAAACGTTGGATTAAATATCTGTGATATGGTCTCTTATATAGACAGTTTTGCAAGGTGGGGCGATTGGTATGGTGGAAGTGGTAAGGGTGGAGTATGCAAAACTGTTTAAACAGGGGAGTTTATAAGACAAGACAATATATATAAATAGAGACAACACCACACCAAGTACAGGTACATAATGATGAAATCAAAATTTAGGCGTAAATACAGCTCTTGTATTTCATCAAACGATGCATTTTGAATTTTGTTTACTTAGTTAAAATATATTTTTTGGAAAGACCCAACCACAGTAATTTCACACAAACTGATAAAGGAAGTTAACAAAGTGAGAGAGAGATTTATTGCGAACCGGTACTGTAATAGTCGTCTTACTAATGTGCAGTCAGTAATCGAACCCTTACTGCATTACTACAGTGAATAGTCGAATCTTTATTGCACTCACTGGTATTTTGTATACAGTGATATATTATCTTGAATAATGAAAATGCTTCAAGACAAGTTAGATGATTCCCAAGTATCTGGCGGAGATTCTTCTAGTGAAAATGAAGAAAAATCTAATAATGCTGCATGGGCAGAAGTTATGGGAAAAGTCTTGAATAAGCAAGGCCCCAAAAATGAAAAATCTATAATACTTGCGAAAAACAAAGAAAAAGTAGAAGAAAATAAGCAAGAGCGCTCCGAACAACGTGAAAGAAAAAAGCAGGTGGGTGGTTTTTATCTAATTTCATCCGTTTCTGAATGATTTTGTGATGCCTGTGATATACGCTAAATTCATAGTGGGGTCCGCAGATCGTTTGGGGTTCGTGAAGCACTTTCGGAGGATCTGCGAAATAAATCTGCTATATGGCTCATAGCTTGATAATACAAAAACTAAGTGCTTATTTTTGCAAATACACATTTTTGCTGCTTCACAATCACTGCTGGAGACACTGATTCTTCACTTTCTGCTTCGGTTACACTCTCCCATTGTGATGTCACAGAGCTGTGGGCCTGTGATAACACAGAGAGAATTCAATTGCTGCCATTACAAGTTAACTAACTGCAGAGGTCTGGAGGTATAGCTGACGCTGCCCTTTTGCACATTTGTTGGTGTAAGAGGGAGTTACAGTAGGCAATTTATAAAGTTATGCCAGTCCGCTTCTAAATCCCATCTCATTAAACTTCGTCATATCATTTAGTTCGTTTTAATGCTTTTCACTATACAGCGCATTGATTTTTTGTTGTGATCTTTTAATGTTTTGTTTTAGTGCACAAGGTTGGGAATCATTGAAAAAATTGCAAGGGTTCCGTCATGAAAATTTTTTTAAAAAGTTTGAAAACGATTGCGCTAGAATGTGTTTTGTTATATCAATTCTTTAAGCAAATTTATAGCTTTTATTTTACATATATTGTACGTATTTAACTTTTTTATTAAGTTATGCCCGTCCTCCAGGTCCTCTGTATTTTGTTTGTCCCTTTGTTGTTGTTTTGTTTGTATCAGAGTGACCGAATAAAATTGATTGATTGATATATAGCTCAACAAGAAGAGGAAATGGGAAGAAATGAATCATGTTAAACCAAATGCACTTGAGAAAGATTATGAAAGAAATTTACAGAAAATAGCAACTCGGTAGGAATTTAAATTTAGCCAAAATTAAACTAAGCAATCTTCATTTAAAATTTTAGTCCCTAATTCCAATATATATCTATTCAAGTGGTTTCTGGTTTCCAACAACTCTTTTTCTATTAAAATGCTTTTAAAACATAAAAATGCTCAAACGTACTTTAAGTGAATGATAATAGTATACATTTCTGCATGTCATTTTGATTTATTTTTCAGAATATTTTTATTTGAAGTTCTATTGATGCTTGTTTAGCTCTAGTTTTAAAAAAATAAAAGTAACAATAATAAAGTGTTTTCTGTAATTATTATTTAGAGGGGTTGTTCAGTTATTCAATGCTGTCAAAAAACATCAAAAACAATTAGATGAAAAACTGAAGTCTGCGAAGACAGAAGGCAAAAAGGAACAGGTGGGCAACACATTGTCTTGTATGTTCCCAAACTTTATAGATTTGCGACCCACTATTTATCACCACAGCTTTTGGCGACCCATTTAACTTTAATAAAACATTGATGGAGGAAAGAAATTGACATAACACAGAACACAGCAATGGCTAATCATCGCAAAACTATCGTGTTTCCTCGAAATGAAGACCTGGCTTGAAAAAAAGGTCTAATTTGAATTTTTAAAATGATTTTAATTAAACCCTACCAATAAAATAAATTTAAAATGTGTGGGAGAGGAAAGGTTCAATTACCTGAGGTAATGTGAAGATCACACCACTATTCAAGATTGTGTGATGTCACAACCACAATTATGATATTTGTCACTTGATTTTTGTATAGGAAATACAAATAAAAACAATGGATGTCTGTTAATGTTCCTTAAAAAAATCTCGTGAATTTCTAAAATGTAATTTTATTTTTGATGAAGAACCCAAAAGGTCTCTTCCAAAGAAAACTGGTGTTATTCTTCAAAATAAATCTAAATCCTGTCTAAATTTCGGGAAAACACTGTAAGAAGTGCTGTACAGTGTATAAAACTGATATGCGTAAAAAATTCACATTGGTCATTCTTTGTGTAGCAAATTTTGTTCCTCTTGAGAAGTTCGTAAAAAGGAAACTTTCAGAGATTAGAATTTAAATTCAATTTAATTTTTTTTTTTTGAAGATTGACGTATTCGAGTCGGCATTGATCCTAATACCCAGTATAATTAATCGAAGCTTTCCACATCTTTTCACGACCCACTAAGATTCCTTTTGCGACCCACCAGGGGGTCGCGACCCATAGTTTGGGGACCGCTGTTCTAGAATAATATTTTCAAAAATCGAATATACCGGTACTCAAATTGATTATGTTCATCAATGTAGATTTCTTTTGTAACATTCAACTGAATTTGAAATATAATTCAAATGAGTGATTGTGCTTCAACACTCTATTGTAGGTCATGAAATCTGTTTCAAAGGGAGAATTTCTAGATATGTTGAAAGATGATAAAGTGATCACGAAACAGAAAGCTGGAAAGGTTTGTATATAATATGTGTTCAAAGTTTAACTGTACTAGAAAATGTATATAAAGAAGTTTTAAATTCTTTATCAAGTATGTCTAATGTTGAGATATAATTTCTTAACTTTGTTTTGCATTACTGGAAGTCATTTAACTATTTATTGCATCAATGCCCATTGCGCCATCATGCCCAATTAAATGTGTTTACTTTCACTCAAGCATTGCAATGTCTCGAATCTCATTCTCCCAATACTAACCCTTTTTTTTCTTTTCTGCTGACTTTCCGCAGTTCAAAATAACTTGAAATTTTTAGTGAAGTAATATTATAAGCTTAATCTTGTTACTTATCGATCTTGATCTGTAAGTATGTTGATAGGTATTTGTATGTATGTCTGTGTTAGATGCACGCGATATCTCACGAAAGCGAGGTTCAATCTGCTCCAAATTTTGCATGTGCATTCATCTTAGCTCGGATGAGAAGCCTATTGATTTTGGATGGATTATGTCGTATAATTAGCGAGTTATTAATTAATTAGTGATGAGACACACGGTGTCATTATGGAGTAAGCCCACTGTTTTGGGGGATCCCCCAACCTTCTCTATAAGTCTAGGGTTTCCAACCGAATTCTTTTTTAACTTTATTTCAAATTAGAACTTTGATCCTGGGATGCCAGATACGACAGCGGAAGATAAAGGATGGGATGTCCTCAGAGATGATTTCATGATGGGAAATAAGCTCAAAGACTGGGATCAACGTTCGGATGGCGAAGATGATTGATAATAAATATATATGGGGGGTTTCCGTAAAGGTGCGAAGCGTTATCTACTGGTGAAACTTGAAGGAACTGGGCAGTTGCGCAAGAACCTCCAAACATACGAGGGTTATTTCACACAATTCCTATCAGCGTCGAGGAGTGCATGGATCACTGTGTCAACGACATAAAATCAAATTCAGACTTCTATAACTTACTAGTAAAGTTTGACTCGACCGAAATTCACTATTATGGTAATATATATTTACTTAATATTACTTTCTAGAGTGGTTAACTTTGTGCATTGTTACATTCAAGTACAAATACATATAATGAATAGTAATAAAGTGTTAAAATATGCCGTATTATCAATGGAGATGAACCGTCAGCATGGGTGTCATATTTATGTCTGATTTCATTATAGAAATTTGGACCAACGTTTAGTTGCATCAGAGCAAGAATCGAAACTCTCTACTGAAAACTAGAGCAGAAATATGTCTTACACCCAATTCACATAAATTTTCTAGTACATGAAGCGTGTGAATGCATGTCGTGTTAGCGATGCTTCTGTGCCATCAGTTTATATGAGATGAGCTTTTTTTCCTATCATTAATCACAAAGCAAAATTGCGCTCAAGGGAAGTTACTACCGCTTAAGTTAGGCTTGCACGTGCATTCTAAAAATACAAGCAAGCTATCACGTGATTACGTTTGGAAAAATTGTGCCAGAATAAACTGATCGATCAATTCATATGATTGTGATGTTCAGACATATTCAGAAATACATGCAAATAGACACATTGTGTTGGGCATCCTTTGTTTGAAGACTGATTTATATAATATATGTGCGTAATAGCTACGTGTGATCTATCGCGGAGGATGTTTGAAGTCCACAAAATTGTTCTTGATATTTATACTTTGGGAAGCTTCTGCTTCATTTGACGCCAAGTTTTATCGATGAACAGTCTGTCTGATTTTATATTTCTGGTTACCATGTCGCCGAAGACAATACCTCCCAGTTCGGCTACCCCAGCGTCTCTGCCCACAGGCACGGCCATTCCGAAGCTTCCCGACTTGTATGGCTTCATTGCCCGCCCGTCGACGCAAGCAAATAGATTATTTGACAACGAAGAACCCTGAGCATATGCAGTCACCAGCATCTTTTCCTCGTCTACATTTGTGATGTCTCCTAGAGCAAAAATGTTGTCTGTGCCTTCTACTTTTAGAAATTGATCAACCTTCACTTGCCCTCGATCGTTTATGGCGTCACCGAGAGCGTCCTTGAAATCGTCCGTCAAGAGCTTAACTCCCGTGCATCTGAACACCAAGTCCACCTTAATTTCTTTGCCGCTTTCTGTTTTCAAAACTTGATCTTTTGTGCACTTGTTGATTTGTAACTCATTGAGATTCGACACTCTTTCATTCAGCATCAATTCTATCCCCTTTCTTTTAACGAGAGCTTGTAGTTTAGACTGGGTACCTGCTTTCAGTCTGTTAGAACATAACACTTCGTTTGAGTGAATAAGAATTATTCTCTTATCCGGAAAGTCGGTTTTTAGTTCTCCCGAAAGTTCCACGCCCACTGCTCCACCCCCAACACAAACAATAGTGTCGGATTCGAGAATTTCTTTGTTAATATCTTTGTATAACTGCAATCCTTCTTCCTTTGAGATTTTGGGATATTCTATCGACATCTTGGCGGGAAACGGGCCACCGCCACCAGTTGCGAGTACCAGGTGTGTATATGGAATATCTTGCCCGTCATCAAGGGTGACCGTATTTGCATCCTTATTGATCTTAACCACCTTTCCTCGTAAAAAGGCATCTCCGAATGTTTCTTGGTATGGTATATATATGTAATTTGCAAAACTAGGTTCGACACAAGAACGCAGTGCTCCAAGGTTATAGAACAAACTGTCTTTGGGGTCGATCAGCTTCACTTTTCCTGTATGAAGCAAGTCCAGCGCAACACGGATGCCAGCAAAGCCGCCACCAACTACAACAATTTGTGTATCTTCGGGCAGAACTTTGGACGCTCCCCCACCCATTATGATTGCTATTCAATGTATCTGTTATTTAATGTAAAGAAATAGGGACGATCTGTTAGGTGCTAGAGATATGCTGTTCAACGATAACTAAGACAAAATACGCTAATAACGACTGTTTTTCGGAATCAAATTTGATATTAGAGGCCTGTCAGAGATTAAACGGCTTCCAACAAAACCTTGAAAAAGTTAATGGGAGATAAAAGTAAAACATATTTTTACTGTGTATTTTTTTATTCGGAAATATTCCAGGAAAAATGAAGTAGTGAGAATATAATATTCCAGCCGCCCTTCATGTTAATCTTGATAGGATAAAAATTTCGTAGAAATGGCGCAAAATCTTAATGACAGCATATCGTATTCGGTCAACGATTATGAACAAGTTGTTATGAGCGTATCAACGGATTTTTGTGTTTCTTACTTATTATTTTCCATTTTCGTTGGTGCTTTCCATGTTGCCGGATTTCGTAAAATTCATTTTTACTAGATTCAATTTCTCATTTGCACAATACCTATCTACTTCTTGCGAATTATTTGCTTGTCTAAATTCTAAATAAACTATACAACTTCAGATAAAAATACTTTCAAAACGAAATAACAATATAATATTTATTTCATCATTCAAGACCTACATTTGTCGAACTGGAATCGCCGTAAGAGCTACAATTACTATAGCATTCATAAATAAATTACAGACATACATGCAAAGGGCGTATACACTTTTGCCACTAAAAGCAATAAGTGGTTTCAGCTGAGTCACGTTTTTTCGTCATACGCACATCAGTGGCCATTCACCTAGCGTTGTGCCTGACTGCTGATAAATAAATAACCATTCCTTTTTAAATTAACGGGTCTGTGATAAGAAAAAAACGAAAAAAGTAAAATAAATAATAACTCTTAGATTTTAAGGATAAACTCAATTAGTATAGTATAGTTAATTTAAATTAGTATATTTTGTAGATTTTTTTATTTACTCGACAGTATTTTAATTTTTTAACCTTTTAAACGTAAAATTGCCCTGCCCAACACTATTGACAAACTTAGAAATATCGGCGATATTTGATATAATAAATTTTTTTATCCCAGTATCAAACATTCACAAAGACTCGCTTCGTTTGCGTTTTAATAGGGAAAAAATACTATTATAGTATGCTGAAGACGACTTTTTATGTGCAGTGATTGCTTCACTATACGTTTGTTTTACGCAAATCACCTTTTTCGTAAAAATATCAGCGACAACGTGGCAAGCCAATAACGACTACGACTCACGAAGTTGTGCGGTATGCTTATTTTCAGCCCTTGTCCATACTTTTTGAAATGCATCGACGGTCAACAAAATGTAATTATTCTACACACATTTGCCTCGGGCTTTGAAAAAGCGTAACAAACTTAGGTGCTTAAAATTACTGAAGGATTACTGATATGCATCATGAAAACCGTATTTAATATAATTTATTTTAAACTACGCTGTGGTAAAAATGACAACATACTGGTATACAAGTTACAAATACCCACGTACATTTTGCGTATCCAGTGTATATTCATCTCATCATTCAATAGGCCTACCTATATTCGTTGAACTGGAATGGCTGTAAGAGCTACAATCACTATAGCATTCGTAAATAAATTACAGACATACACGCGAAGGGCGTATACACTTTGGCCACTAAAAGCAATACATAGTTTTATGTTGAGTCACGTTTATTCGTCAAATGCACTTCAGTAGCCTTTCTCGAAGTGTTATACCTGACTAAATTGAAATAAAGTTTAACGCTGCAGGATCGATAGATCGTATAATCGCAGAACTGCACGACTCTTACATGATACATACATCTCGCTGGAGGAATGGTATTGCCTAGTTGGGAACCAATGGGAAACACCACGCCCATTATAATAAACGTTTATCAAAAAATAAATATAATTTATAATGTGGCCACACCGTGGTCGAATATGAAATTCATTATGAAGTCATAATATGCTTCTTACTATACTTAAATGTATTATGATGTCATAAATAACGTTTTAAATTGCGTGAACTACTTCTATTAAAAATAAATTTGAGTTGGGTTGCGCGAGACTAACTTCCTATCTTTTCTCTATGCCTTTATGCTAGTGGAACCGTATGCGTATACTGCAAGGATACTGTAGCCGGAAAAACATGACTATTCTATCCAATTAAAGAGCTCAGCTGCACACTAACACGAATGTATTTCTGTAACGTTTCGTCCGACCAGAGTCAGACTTCCTCTCGGACGAAACGTTACAGAAATACATTTGTGTTAGTGTGCAGCTGGACTCTTTGGATAGACTACTTCTATTACTGGTAAATCCGACACTTGCCTACACTGAATTTCGCCAATTCCTCTGCTTCATCAATCACCAATGCTTCTTTATTACAGACTAATTCACGAGTCGTCGATACGTAAACAGCTTCTGCCTATGTAAACTCCTGATGTGATTTTATCGTAAAAGAATGTGTCTGTTGTAAGGGCTTTGAAATCTTTACTTTATGCACACGCTCTGCTACGCCTGAAAAGATCAGCCAGATATGATGGATGTAACATATTCTTATTCCCTCGAGATTTATTGCGCTAATTTTGCAATAAGTACAATAGGGCTCCGATGGCAAATATGCTAACTTGTCTTTACATGGATATATTTGCATTGTATTTGTGGAACGCTCCTACATTTGCCTAGATGTGCTTGGTTGGCTTTGAAGGGAGGTGATAGAACCAGTTATTAGTTATGAAAGCATACTAAAGAATCTCACAGCCATCTGTAACCTGATTTGGTTGACTTTTTAGGATAATTATAAATGAAATAGTTTGGCACAATAAACGGTTATCGCGGCGTTCAACACAATAATCCAATTCCGTATACAGTACTCGGAGTCTGTTTCTAGCGAAACATATTTTGTTAAACAGTATTCTGCACGAATCATGCATTATCTAAGTTTTCCCTATGCCAAAAAAACATACCTAATGTTGCTTCACTTTTTCTCCAAATCATTTCACTCAAGAAAGCATACTAAAATCCTCGTTGGTTTCGCTACACCCGCCACAAGTTTTGAATTATTAACGACTTCCGTTTTTATGTTGAGGCTGATTGCAGGTTCAAAATAAACTTAGTTTTCATCACGACTTTCTCTGGAACAAAGTGAAGCGCTAATCCAGGGTCGCCCAACCCGCGGAGGTGTTTCGAGTGGCCCGCGCTGTATTTTCGGAATCGTATAAAAAAAAATTAAAAACTTCTATTTTTTGAGTGATGTAGTATACAAAGATTTGATACAAAGGATTTGTTTATTTTTCTAAAATGCGCTCTGCCAGCCCTCTCAAACGAGCCATAAGTGCCATTATGCATCGAAACCAACTGGAGTTTACTGAATATAGTTCGCTCCCGGCCGGTTCGCTACGCATGAGTGATGCGTTACTACGTCATCAGTTTGCTATATTTTTAAGCTTACGAAAGAGGATTTTCGTTTAAATTTATTTGCGTATTTGGAGGGGTTTTGTTGGTTGAAATAACTGAAAAGATATACTGAGGCATTAGGATAAAGTAGGGGGTCGTGGTCGTGGCATCTGCCAATCATCTCTGCGTCGATACCATAAATTATCAAAGTGGAGTAGGGCAGAGTAATTCTGCTGTTCTGTGATTGCATTTATGGAATGGTAATTAAATGTTTATACCAGCATTATAGCACAAAAGTGAGAATTCAGATACTCGCAAGTATGGGCGATATAGAATACCGAATCCGGAGGATTTGAATCCCTAGGACTCGATTTCCGTCTCTTCGGCGCCGTGCGTCAAATTTTGTAATTCAGATTTATAATTTAGTAATCAGGGACGAGCGTTATTTTCTCGCAACGAAATCTGTCTTGCGTGATTATACTTATACCCGCAAACGATATCAAACAACGTAATCCCAGCTTGAATAATCAGAATGCGAGGACGGCGTTATTACACCAATTTATTTATTATCATTGGTGCCGACTGCCAGCTTACAGGCGATTTTCCGATTGCAACAATCTTAATTTTTTGGAATAGTGAAACATTCTTTATTTTATATTAAATGACTTTTCGAGTTCTGTCGGAAAATGATGAGTACCCGACGTTAGATGATAAAACATTATTTGCGATTAATTTAGATCAAATTTGACTTTTAATTTTCACGACATCCGGTTTCCGAAAATACGAAGTTATAACGCAAAACAATGCGCTTTGTCACATTTATTTTGCGCTCCCAATAAAATACGTATATCTTGGAGTTGGAGTCGCTGATGAATCTGTTGCTATCGCCCAATCGCGACACACGCCTGGTCGAGTGTCGGGTGGTATTTTAGTCACGGTGAATTAAAAAAGTTGCGATGATAACTGGAAATTAAAATTTGGTAACAAAAATGAATTTGTCTCAAAATGTTATTTTATCAGTTTTGCTCTCAGGAGCAATCGTTTTCTCTCAAAGGCACAAGACATTCAAACAATATATAACGATATCATACCAGTCCGATAACCTATACATTCTCTTTAGACTCTTTAGATTGGTTCCCAACCGCCGGTCCGCGAAGCATTTTTGCCGGTCCGCGAAAAATTTCGGTGTTTCGTTGTATTTATGCCGTTTAAATCGCTGTACCGAAGGCGAGGTTGCGTTGGTTTATTACCCAATTTCTCTTCCGCCGTCATATTGTGACAACTTGGCGCCCAGTAATCATTCTTTTCGCTTTTTCGGCTCCGCTCCGATCTCTTTACCGAAGACGAGGTTGCGTTGGTTTATTACGCAATTTCTCTTCCGCCGTCATATTGCGACGTCTTTCGCGACATCTTGGCGCCGAATAATCACACTTTTTGCTTTTTCGGCTCCGATTCTTCGTGAATGCGCTCCATCAAATCTCGCAAAATTCAGAAACCTAAAAATTGGCACGCGTGCTTTTTCTGTTCTGCATGCTTTTCCTGATTAATATGACCATCCGAATAAAACGTTATGTATATTTCTTTGTTCAAACCCGAAGACAGTCAAGAAAAATATAAAACTCCAGTAAAATATGGCAGGTGGTCACGAGGCGCGCAAAAAGCATGAGCCGCTGAGATCTTTTCCAGTATCTTGAGCAGACAAAGTAGGATTTTGAGCCTGGTGCCAAGTTAGCGACGACTCTGACATTGTAATGTAAATTCATTTCGTTTGAAGCATCGATCAACTGCAGAGGAATTAATGTGATAAACCAGATGAAAAAGAAAAGGCTTGATTCAAATTGTGATTCTACTTTACAGTCCAGGAGTTACTAATATTTTTATTACTTATATATAAAAATAGTTTCACCACTAGCCTTAATTAAAGCGAAGCAAGGAAATTGGCTGCACGCCGCTGCAGAGCTACGTGTTGCAGAAACTTCCTTGAGGCATCGTTTGCATTCCTATATTGGAAACTAAACAGCAGCAAAATTCTCACTAGAGTTAATTGCGATTGTACATGTACATGTTTTTTATGTGAGATGTTTTATGTGTGCCTTTCTTACGCATAATGGGTGCCCAGCACTGCATTTCATTTCGCAAATATG